ATATTTTTAATAATGTTAGCTAATATTTTATAAAATTTTGAGAGATTAAAAGAAAAAAAAAACCCTATGGCCAAAGTATTACAATTCCAAACAAAGAAATTTATTAATGATAGTTTTGATACTAAGCTCCAAGATGACAAAATAAGATATCAATTCATACTAAAATGAATATTTCTACATGAAATGATAAAAGGTGAATTTAATGAGAATATAAAAAAAAAATTAGAATGTTATGGTACTAATTTTTTTCTCAAAAATATATACTAAATTTTTGTTTTAAATTGACTTTTCGTATAATTTCAAAGGTCATTAATTTCTCCTTTCTCATTTTAACCTTTGTGCACGGTAAAACAATCTCGGATTATGTGTTATTGAAAAATACTGTCTTGTAATCAAACGTTGGGTATGGTGATTGTAGGAATTACATAACTTTCGTAAATATCTTATATTTGGCCCGCGGATCTTTATCGAGTATACCCAGTCGGCCAGTCCACTGAAACTAGCATAGAATTGGGCGAAAAAAAATCTTAAAGTATAATTAATATCTGCATGTCTTAAAATATAATATACTTTTGAAGACCTTAGTACGATAACGATTATTGTGTACACTTCGTAAATGTCAGAGCAGCAAAACCATCAAAGATATCACAGTTAAAGCCCAGGACCAAAATTTAAAACCATATATTTAATCATGGGCAAAAAGTATCCATTTACCCTTAAACTTTTTGAATTTGAGGTATTTTACCCCTCATATTATAATACATGATATTTTATCCTTTATATTTTTGAGTTTGAGGAAATAGGACAAAATTTAATGTTAGAAGGTCACGTGTAGCACGTGCACCATTGGACTCTGTTATATATACACATGTCAGCATCAATTTAGATCTTTTTTACATGTTGGCAACTTATGGACCCCACTTATTGACTTATAATTTGAAAAAAAAAAAAAATCAGATGAATGCAACTGATTTTTGGAACCCAAGCGTTGGGTTCTTTTGGAACCCCAGCAAAGGAGAAATGAAGAAAAAGATGGTGATAGGAGCAGTACAGGTAGATGATAGGATTGCTCATGTACAGGAACCTCCTTTCTTTTTAGAAGAAGGATATCATACAACAGGGTCTCTTTGGTTCCCTTTGCTGGAATCCATTTCTCTCCGGCCCCTCTTCTCCTCTCCCTCTCCCCTCCTCTCCTTTTTCTTC